CCTCCAGTTGTGAGTATGTGGAATGGTATTGGCTTCAACTCTCCCCCTTGGAGTGTGGTACACCAAGGTGCACCTTTCTTTCAGGAGCGACAGGAGGTGCAGGTGGGATTTGGGAGGGGGGAGGAAACTAGCCCGCTTAGGTAGCTGCTTTTTCTTCTTTCAAGTTTAAAAACTACATCTTGTGCTAAGGTTGGTCTGATAATTTGTAAGTCCCCATGCTGCCAGAGGTAAGGAGGTAATAATTCACGAGCCGTCCTCTCCAGTTTTGGTTATGAAGCTGGGCGATAGATTGATTAATCCTCTGGTTGGTGAGAGAGCCACAGTCACTTGAAGTGCTTGTGCATGGGGCTGGCCTCCTGTCAGCTTCTGCGGCTGAAAGCTGCTTTTTACATTTCCAAGATTTTTTCCATAAAAGCTGGACTAGAATAAGGTTTTGAGACTTCTTTTTTAAGAGCAGCTAGATTGCAGCTCTGAAAAGGCACTCTTCTGTTAGCCACATGGCGAATAGCTGCTACATATGGACAGCGGCTCGCTCTGTCTGTGTGTGCACATTATACCTGGTATTATTTAGAAAAATTCCAGCAGTCACTGGCACGGTAGCTATTACTGGGGCAAGAACTTCACCACCAGATTGTTTCCATGTTAGGGGGGGAAAACCCCCAAACTAATAGCTGGATTAGAGCTGTCATGGGAAACTTTTTTTTCCCCCTTAAATACATTTAGATAACCTTAAGGGCCTGACTTCTCCCCAAGAAAACCAGCGAGTTCAGAGTTAAGGCTTCTCACTCCATCTCCAGTACTCGCTGGAGCGCTGGGCTCTCCAGCACGGGTGGTAGTGGAGATCACACGCTATCCTCAGATCCCTGCTCACCTAGGCAAAACGTTTGCCGCATGAGTGGTGCCGACTGTTCCAGGTACGTCTGTTTACAATACACCTGCTGTCCTGCACAAGGTGTCTTAACAGTCCGCTGGTTTCCCTGGTATGTTAATGGCCGGTGGCAGCACAGCAGGTGTGGTGGAAAGCCAGGAGTGAAAGGGGGAAGGGTACAGATGCAGTGAGAAGCTTTAACTTTGAGTTTCCTGGCTTCTGTGAGCACAAGTCAGACCCTTAATGTTGTTTTAATGTATTGTTTGTGTTTAATTTTTAGTAAAAATTTGAACACCATCCAGGCTACAGAGGTTGCAGTGGATGAGAAGTTTAAAAGCTTTGGTTCAAGATTACAGGAGGCTGCAAGAAAAATTAAAGACATGGAAATGAGGATGGAATGACAGGCTGCTATTTTGCCTCAGAATACTGAAGATTGTAAAGCATTGAGAAATCGAATTCATGACCCTGGAAATCAAGCTCAGATTAAGAAATGTCAGGTTGGTAGGGGTTCCTGAAAGTCTCAAGTTAGGATAAACTGAGATTGTTTTCCCATAACAAAGGTTCTAGGATGTGGGGGTGGATGGTATAATTTTTGTTATCTGTGTTATATGAAATGCTATACCATATACTTAAATAATCCAGCTGAGTGAATTTTTTTTTTTTTTAAATTAGTTTCACATTTGTGGTGTTGAATGTCACTTTTGACCGGTTTACCGTTATTTCTCTCTGGCACCGAGTTGCATGATTTACTGTTAATGCAGGCATGGAAAATACTGCTCTTAAATACACATTGCTTTATCCTGCCACTCCAAGGGTCTGCTGCAAAGCCAAACACATGGTGCAGTATGACATTTCTAGATAAGAAACAGGCAGAACATATCTAAATGGTGGAAGAAGCAGTTTTTTGTTCAAAGGGTTCTGATTCATAGTGAAACTGTGTCTTTCCAAATGTAAACTTTAAATAGTACTGCCACTGTGATTAAGTTACTGTAAGTTTACTTAAGTGTTGAGTTATTGTCTGCGATTCAGTGATATGGTATTTAGGCAGAAAGATTGTGCAACAGGAAGTCTACGCTGAAGTTCAGAAAAGATTTTGGCAAGCTAAGGTTTGTAGGGTTTTCGTGGTCAAGGTCACTGTATGCATTTGAGTTCTGGGGACTCTTAACAAAGTCTGAGAATCTCTTGGGGAGGTTTTCTCCTAGTTGTTTTTCTGACTTCAGTTTCTGTGCTCTGGAGCTCATTCTGGCATGCCACTTAGACACAAGTAACTTGGTTGAAATCGATAGATACACTGGCGTGAAGGGAAAACCAGACCACACCTTTATGTATGTCAGAGAAATCATTATTTTCAACAAGGGTTGAAACACAACAAGGGTTGTGTTTTATGATACTGTTATTTCATGATTTTCTGAGATAGCTCTAGTGAGAAAAGTGATTCTTAAAAGTGACAGGTTTTAATCTCATCTTCTGTTATCTGTTTGGACTGTATGCGCTCTTCTGTTGACAGAGGTGCTTTAGTTGTAGCTCTGAGGGAATCATCTGTGGCATATTTTTCCTCATTCATCTTCAACAACTTCAGTATCAAAGTTCTGTTTTCTTTTTTCATTTTCTTTTTTTAATTTTCTTTTAGCTAGGATTCAAACTTGTCATTGAAATCCCGGCTTTGCTGGACTGACAATTAACGGCCATAACATTTCAGTTGTAAAATGAGCACAGTTGTTATATCCAATATGAATAGGTCTTGCAATGTCATTTTTACATTTGTTTCAAAACATAATTGCATTTTATGAATGCTATTACATACACTGTTTTGAAAGAAACATGAAGAAGTCCATAACGTGCTTTATTTTAGGGTGTTTCTAAGTAAATTTTAATGGGGGGGGTTTATAATTAAGTTGCCATTAAAGGATAGTAATTATTGTCTGGATAACTATGTAGCATTTAGACTGTAGTGTTTGTGTCCTGTACTGCATTATTAGTGTGCGGGTGGTTTATTTACTGAACATGACTGTGAAGGTTATGTGGCCATTTCTGCTTCAAACAGGTAACAATAGTAAGTTAGCAAGATGCACAATTTTTAAAAATTATATTAAAAAGGCTTCAGTTTATTCTTGGTGGCTGGATATTAAACACTAGTTTACTGAAAGAATCTGTGCATTATTGGTAAGCATGTCTATTGCGGTAGTGGTTAGGAATTGATGGATTTACAGCAGAGAATAATTTTAATGGGTATTGTACTTTGCTGGTGAATAGTTTTCACATCTGAATTCCTGTCTGCTGCAGTGACTGTACTGCAGTTGCAGTCCTTTGGCATAATCAGTTGTTAGGAGATGCTGGGACTAGAACAGAAAAGAACCAAATGTACTTCAGTGACCAAATGCAGAAGGATTGGTGAGGATCTGTTGTCCTCCTGCCTTAAGTCTGAAAGATCCTTTTGCTGTTTGCTGCTGAATAAGCAATTTAAAGTGTTGTACAGTTACAGTTAAAGCCAGCTGCAATTTCCAGAAGTTTTGCAGGTAGGGTGCTAGCTGAAACTGCGTGCATATAGGAAAAGTTCCAGTGACCCTTGTTCAGTTGTCTTCAATTATAAAACCTGTTTGAATAGGTAAAGAACTTAAATGCCAGATTGTAGTAGGGCTGGTCTGTCATCCTGACTCGGTTAGGGGTGGACATGGAATTTACAGGTGCAGGCTGGACAGTTGAGACTGTGAGGGTAGCGGTCTCCGTAGCCGTGCTCCTTCAGCCCCAGACCCGAGCTTGGTCCCAGTGGGGAAGTAATACGCTGCTGCTGTTCACTTGCGAAAATCTCTTCTCCCAGCAGCTGTTTTTCTTCACCAGGTATCTCGTACAGCTGGGATTCTACTAATTTTCCATCCTCTTAAAATGCAGATGACAGTCTTTTAGGGCTTGCTTTTTAACACAGGCTGGGACATAAGATGCAGGGATTTCTTGTAGAAGGTAGCTGGGGAACCCCTGTCTTTTGCATTAATGTTGGACTAACATACATTGTCGAGCAAAAAGCAATGTTTTTAAATTCATGTTGCAGCAAAAATATGTTGAAATCTGCATGCAAGAAGTAGCTAGCCTGCTTCACTTTGCAGTGTTTAAAACTGCTTATTTTAAAAGAGAAAAAAAAAATAATGTACTTTATTCTTGTTTTTGCTTTTCCTTATCTCTTCAGGAAGTCCCTTTCTTTCCACCCACGCTTAACTACTTTTGTGTAAATGTAATGGTTTAATATTATTCCCTTGAGTACTTTGGTGTATTTACAGCATCTATGCTGTTAAAAAGATGGTCTCTAAATATCTTGTTACAAGGATTACTTTTCATTTTAAAATGAAACTTTAAAATCCGTAAAAAAGATATAAATGAAGTCTGCACTCAGCTGATTTTCCTTCCCCCAGATATTTAACATGTATTTCTTTGTCACTCCATGATGTTCCAAGCATGATGTTGCTTCAGGGAGGGACATTTTGTTCATATTTTGTAAGAGTTTCAAGTAGTAGATGAAGTATGATGTGTTTGTTTGACTAGGCTATACAGAATTGTTCTGTAAAACTTCTAAGTTTAAGCAGACCTACATAGATCAGCAATTAGCCTGTACCCTTGGACATTGGATCTCAGTAAATTCAAAATTTTGCTGTTGTAGGCTTTTTTTGAGTTAAATTTTAGTCTCAGCAGATCATCATCCTATATGTAAATTGAATACCCAAATCCTCACTGAGTTGCTTATGATATTCCATAAGATACACTGTTGCAAGCCTGGACAAGACATTTCTTACTCTTTGTAGAGTTCACAAAGGTGTGGAATCCAATCAAAACATAAACCTTGGATAAGATTGCGCAGACATTTCTTAATAGTGCAGTAAGGATGTCCCTTTAAAAAACAAATGTAGTATTCCCTTAGTGGTTTTATCTGTCTTCCATTGTTCAACCTCTTGAGCCTCCATGGCATTTTTTTCTTAGGTGTGCTGTGTTTGGTTGATTGCTGACTGTAAACTTGTTCCTGTTTTACTAGCTTCAGTCCTTGAAATCCTTGTTTGCCATCAGAATAAACAGACTAACTGTAACCTATTTTTTTATTACAATTGCATGACTTGAATAATAAGTCTTCTCTGTTTCTTCATAGGCATTCGACCTCCGATCATGAATGGGCCCATGCACCCGCGCCCTTTGGTAGCGTTGCTGGATGGCAGGGATTGTACAGTAGAAATGCCTATTCTGAAGGATGTAGCCACAGTGGCGTTTTGTGATGCTCAGTCTACACAAGAAATTCACGAAAAGGTAATATTTAGAGGTATAATTAAAGTGGTTTAGAAAACACAAATGTTTTCATGATTATGGACAGATACAGTGTTGTGTTAACTATGACAGTGTGTTTTAGCTATTGCATTTTAGTTAATGGTTGATTACCTTAGTGAGTGAGTTACTGGTCGTTTCCAATAAGTGATGAAACACGATGATGAAACAAAGATGAAAATGTCTGTTGAAGTATACTTTTGTACAGTCTGTTTTGGCTGGATGTTGTCCACGTGCTTACCTACTGAGTTAGATTCATGGAGAGAGTTACCTGTGGGAAAATTATGCTATTACATGATATTTTGAAATGCTTCTTGGAAACACTGTTGCTCAGCCTTCAGCTGGAAAGCCAAATCTCAGTATTGGATTGGCCATGTGAGGAACTTTCAAACTTCTCTGTTTAGCCAAGGAATTGTGCAAATCGGGTTAGGAGGCTTTGTGCACTGAGAGTTGACACTGCAGAAGAGTTTCGAAACAAATGCTAACCCAAAATTTATTTAGAAAATTAATTTTAAAAAGTATTGTAACTGTATGTTATTCCAGAAGTTCGCACCCTTCCTGATGGTTTGGGAGCTGTAAAACAGCTAGTGATTCTTAATGTTGTCAAAGGTTTTCTCATTTTCTTAGAGGGACACCCATTTTTTGTGATGATAGCCAAGGGAGCCAGCTGGCCCACAACACCTACAGTTTCTCTTCAGAGACTTCTTTCAGCATGAAGGCCTCGTGCCTACCCCAAATCCTCGCTGCTCTCTAGGCAGCAACAGAACCTTTTCACATCTGCATTTCTGTGAAGGTAGAATTAATTTTGGTGAAATTGTTGGCTAACAGAGTAAGCCTCAAATGCCAAATATTCCTTCACTTAATAAGGGGTGAAGACAGGCCTTAGAGCTTCTATGGAGGTAAAAACTATAATAAATATGACAGCAGAGGAGGAGCCAAGTGCAGAGGAGGGCAATCAGGGGTCCCTTCCAAGGGAGTTTATTTTCTTCTTCTCCGGCAAAGATCCATGATAGACAAGTACAGATCCAAGTATTAACTTCAGGGCTTGTTAGGTAAGTGTCTGTATCCACTTTTGTGCGTATGGTACTGTATACTGCTGAGAGTGATTCATCTGTTAAGGAGTTGTCAGCTGAACTGAATTGCACCAGTATTCTTGTTTCTCTACAGATACCTTCTTAGACTTGTCCTACACTGACTATGGCAGCTCTTGGGTTCGTGACAAGTTTTCAGAAGCTTTTCACTATTCTGAATTCATAACTGGTGTAATTGTTTACTTACTTCTCATGTTCTTGTAATATATATCATTGTTAAACATTTTAAAGTCTCTGTATATGATGAAAGATTTAATCTTTTCTTTGATGACTTTCTTACAAAGCCAGCTACTTGAAAATAATACGAATACTAACTTCCCTTCTGTTATCAGGTGAATAAATCTCATTTTCTGTAGTCCATTTCATGTCGGCATCTTCCTGGTGAGAACCCATCAACCAACTATGCAGCTTGTTACTCCTTAAGAAAAAATATTTTTATTCTGAAAAAAAAATTTCATTGTTAAAACTTTCAAAATTTGAAGGTGGTAGGGTTTTTTTTTCCCCCAGCAGGTTTTTTTTTTGTTTTTAAGCAATAAAGACTGAAGAGTTGTATGCTGTATCAACACAGCAAACTAGAATTGCTGATTCTCACGGTTCAGGCACACAAGAGATGACTCCCCTCTCCTGAAGCCCTCTGTGTAGCTTTTTGGTGGATATCTGTGTAGGCTTTCAGATTTCCTGTCTTACTCTTCTGCCCCCCTCCCCACACAGGAATAAGCTGTTGTCAGAACAATAGCCAAGAATGACATTTAAGGTTTTCTGCCACATCAGTACTGGCTTAATGTCACTACCTTGTTTTGTTCGGCTGCATTTTAGATACAATAAAACTCTAATGTGAATAGGAAAATGGAAAAAATAAAATAAAATTGTTCCTACTAGGAAATAATTTGCATTCAACACACCCTTTTTTTCTCATTGTTTCTCACAGGGTAGTCAAAACTATTCTTTTTAGATTATTCTTGAATTATAAACTAGATTCAGACTTGGCAATATTATTGTTCCAATCTCATGCCTTTTTTAATGTATTTATACTGTCATATAGAAGACCATCTTTACAGTGGGTGGTCAGTGGGATAGCATAAACTCAAAACTCAAACTTCTGTTTTGTTGTGGCATTCAGTTTTGAAACAGTAAGGTTTTACCAAAACCTAATGCAAATTTCAACCTTCTTTTTAACATCTGTTGAAAAAGACCAGTGTTTTTGCTGTGTGTACAACTAAGCCTACTCAATATTGTGGCGGTGAATGAGAACCTAAAAGTAACTAACTAGAGAACAAATGCAAAGAGGTGAAAACTTCTCAGTCTTCATTGGTAACTGGAGTTGCATAGAGATGGATACTGTTTTGTTTTGTTTGTTTTTTAAAAAAAACCCAAACCCAGAAACTTTGATATGTACGGGTCAAAGACAATAATAATCTAAGTATGATACTTTCTTTTTTCATTTAGAGAAATATTCAACACAATCTTTTTTTCTGTCAATTATCTTTTTATATATTGATAATTCAAATGTGATACGATGCTTTATTTATGTCTGCTTCTTGTTAATCATGTTTAAAAGTTGTTTTAATCTTACTGTTTTCCTATCTCACACCATTGTCAGAAGTTTAATATGTGAAATAGCCGGTTTCCATTTACAAGGACTGAATAACACATGGAGAATAAGCAATATAAATGCTGTTCCACTTTTATAGTAGATAATAGCAGTCTTCAGGTGAACACTGTAATACTGGCAACTGCACCTCCTGGATAGTCCTCTGCTTTGCATACTGAAATCAACATCATTTACTTCTGATGCACAGAGATGGGAATTCCTCTGTGACATGAATGCCTTGCCTTAGAAACACTCAATATTTTCTGTTATCAGTGGGGTGTAGTAAACAATCTTTCCAGATCTTGAGACCGAAAGTCAGTGTGTGTAGCTCAAATTGTAGCTTTGTAAAAGCTACAGTAACTTAAGCTTGATGAGTAATACAGGTAATCTATGGTTGACCTTCACAAGAGTGTTTGTATTTAGCGGATATACTAAAGCTTGCATCCTTTGCTTTTTATTATACCAAAATAATTAATTCTTATTGAGCTCAGTACGATATCTGAAAAATGTATTTTCACTAGCAACCAGTACATTACCATAATACAAATTTTCACTAGTCTGAGGGGTAATATAATCCTAAAGTATTTCGGTTTGCAAAGTACCACTGTTCTGCCAGGTAATAAGTTTCTGCAACAAAAATCACAAGTCTTTCATAAGGAGTCTGATCCAAGGCTCATTCAAACAGTTTCAGTAAATTTACGGGATTTTGGATCGGCTCTGAGGCGACAACTTATTCCCAAGTATACATTACTATTTAGAACAAGGCAGCTTCATTATCATATTGTATTACTGTAACATAGACTGAGATGTTTCATGAAGTCTTGAGCGCTGTTCACTTCCACGTGAAAAGTATTCACTTTTTACTTCCACTGCTCATCTGCAGCAAAAAACGGCTATTTGCCACACATCTTCAGATGTCTTTGTTGTTGATTTGTTCTGCCAAAAATATAGGTGCTCATCCAAAAAAATTATTTAAAAATAGTTAGCTTGCTTCCATCCTCATTCCAGGTCAACTTGCTTTTTTCATTGTCTCATGCTCTGTTGTCTCCCCCACCTCTTTTTTCTCCCAATCCCTCTTCCTTTCAGTGCCATTCATGGTTTACTGATTTTCCTGGCTCCTTGGCAGCCTACCCAGCGCTTCTGATTTCTGCAGTATTGCTCCTTTTCTACTTCTGTACCTTCGAAGGCATCACAGACTCAAGCACGCCCTTGAGGTCTTTGTGTTGCCTAAGATTTTTGAAGTTCAAATTCTGTACTCTTTGGGCTTCCTGACTTCTGCTGTATATTCTGTAACAGGGAGTGCGCTGTGTAGCTCCAAAGGGCTAAATGTAAACATAATATGCAAGATCTGGTAATAGACATCTCGACCAAGCAGAGAGAAAATAAAGTGATCTTGCAAACCCAAATGAAAAAGAGAGGAAGCACAGCTGATTAGGAATGATCTTTAAAGCAAAACAAATAGGCTGGAAAGAAGTCAAGAGTTTGTTTGAAGCTGTGTACACTTTCTCATTCTCTTTTTCTGTAATTATGTGGTTTCCTACATCTTGTCTCAAATCAGCTAGAAGAAAAAAATGTGTGTGTGTGTGACTGGATTTACTGCTTCTTGCAGATACCCAGATCACCAGAACATCAAAGAGAATAGGATGCTCTGCTGGAAGTGGGAAAATAGTCTGTCTGGTAGACCTATGCTCCAACCTTACAAGTGATTTAGTTAAGTTAGAATGTATCCGATCCCTTGATGCCTGTTATGAAAGCACAAAATAAAGTCATCTTCACAGAGATACTACATTGCCATATTTTTAGTTTAAGTTAAAAAAATTTTTAAAGCTGAACTTCCTATTCAGTGGTATAGGACTTGAAGTTTTTCAGTTGCGCTTTTACATAGGAATTAAATGTAGAAACATTTCCAGTCATTACACTTTTATCTAAGACTGTTTCAAAGAAGAGCTGAAGAGCTTTCATAACACAACAAATGTTTTGAAACCGATACAAACAAATCAGGAATGCTGCTGGTTTTCAGCTGACTCTTTGATTTGTTCCTGTTATATCAATTGTTAAGTAAGATAATTTTTGCAGCCTCAGATTATTCTTTGCTTAGCAGTAAAGCTACTGTCTTGCATTTGCACCATCAGTGCTGTTTATATTCATGATGCGGTTGCAGCATTTTAGTTTTCCATCAAACTTAAATTCTCAAAGAATATAGATTGAAAGGAAGCTGCCTTGTTCTAAGTAGTAATGTATACTTGGGAATAAGTTGTCACCTCAGGGCTGATCCGAAACGCCGTAAATATACTGAAACTGTT